CCTCCGATCACCCCGCCACCTCCGGCGACTCCAAACAGCGGTCCAGCGGCACGCGCCACCCCGTGTACCGGGGCGTACGCAAGCGCCGGTGGGGCAAGTGGGTGTCAGAGATCAGGGAACCCAAGAAGAAGACCCGGATATGGCTCGGGTCGTTCCCGGCGCCGGAGATGGCGGCCAGGGCCTACGACGTCGCCGCCTACTGCCTGAAGGGTCCCAAGGCCCAGCTCAACTTTCCCGACGATGTCGACCATCTCCCCCGCCCGCCCACGACCGCCGCCAGGGACATCCAGGCCGCCGCCGCCCTGGCAGCCAAGATGGCGGCGGAGAAGGGCGGCGCCACCGATGAGGGAGGCGACGGAGGGGACGACTTCTGGGCGGAGATAGAGCTTCCGGAGCTTCTGATGGACGGAAACGGCTGCTTGCCGGAGGTATGGTGGGCGTCGCCGGCCAGTGACCCCACGTCGATGGATATCACTGGCGGCGACCAATTATTTTGACTTATTTTGTTGCGTTAAGTGCTCAATTATATATATTTTTCGAAATTTAGTTTCTGGTGACAGGTTGTAAATTTGTGTTTATTGATTAATTTACTGTTTTTTTCTTCTTTAAATAAATAATTATTTTTTTTTGGTACAATTAAATAAATAATTATTCATTGTATTGTATGTATTTGTGAACAGTTAAATATTACATATACATCATTTATTTCAAAACTTGTGTATCGCTTGAGTTGTATTTAGAAATGTTAAACAAAATGAGCCGTCAACGAGCATGACTCGACTTGTTTATACTCAAATTCGGTTTGGCTCATGAAGGCTCGGAAATAGGGAATTTTACATAATTTTCTAAACTTTTACCTTTATTCTGCTCATAAAGTTCAAGTTGGACACGTTATTATTGACAATGCGAAGAGCTCATAACCGATTCGTTCAAACTCCGAGTTTAACTTGTTAATATTAATAACAACTACTCAAAATCTTGTATCCAACTTGTTTAATTAATGAACCAATCTCAGTTCAACTTGATAAGTGATCGAGCTCGAGTTCGAGTTAGAGTTCGAGTTTGGTTCTGCTCATTTACACATCCAATTGTATTTGATGGGTTGTTTGAACTTTAAAATCTTTTATGATCTGTTCATATTTGAAATATTTCAGAATGACTATATTTTGTTGATAATTATCAAGTACATGGTATTTGTAGCCAATAAGACA